GCCACCACATTCAGTCCATGTTAATTTTATACTTAGTTTTGAAACAGCAACAATTAACCATCAATGATTTTGTATTTCTGTTTCTAGATGCTACCAAAAATTTTAAATTCTACACAGCCAGTGTTGCCATGAAACAGACACTGTAAATTCTAGGTAGCAAAGATTCTTTCTGATACCAAAGTTAAGTCAAAGAAATATAAAGCAGGGTACTGCACGAAATTTCTGAATCTAGTTCAATAAAAAGAGTGAAACCTAGGGAAAGTCACCTACTGGTTTTTGTTTTGGTTTGTAAAATTTTTGAGACAGTGTCTTGCTCTGTTACCAGGCTGGGATGCAGTGGAGTGATCACAGCTCACTGTAACCTCAAACTCCTGAGCTTAAGCAATCTCCTTCCTCAGCATCTCAAGTAACTGGAATTACAGGTGCACCACCATGCCCGGCTAATTTTTATTATTTTTCAGATGGGGAGTACAGTGGCACAATCTTGGCTCACTGCATCTTCCACCTCCAGGGTTCAAGTGATTCTCCTGCCTCAGCCTCCCAAGTAGCTGGGATTACAGGCAGGTGCCACCACAGCCGGCTAATTTTTTTTTTTTTTTTTTTTTTTTTTTTGAGATAGAGTCTTCACTCTGTCAGGTTCAAGCAATTCTCCTACCTCAGCCTCCTGAGTAGCTGGGATTACAACCCTGCCCCCACCACCACCACCATGGCCAGCTGATTTTTATATTTTTAGTAGAGATGGGGTTTTACCATATTGGCCAGGCTCAAAGTCCTGACCTCAGGTGATCCACTCACCTCAGCCTCCCAAAGTGCTGGGATTACAGGCATGAGTTCCCGCACCCGGCCTGTTTTTTGTATTTTTAGTAGAGACAGGGTTTCACCATGTTGGCCAGGCTGATCTTGAACTCCTGATCTCAGGTGATCTGTCCACTCAGCCTCCCTAAATGCTGGGATTACACCATTTGAGTCACCATACCTGACCGATATTAAAATTTTTTTTTTGTGGAGACAGGAGTCCACTTTATTTATTTTTTGGAGGAGACAGGGTCTCACTGTGTTGCCCAGGCTGGTCTTGAACTCCTGGGCTCAAGCAATCCACCCACCTTGGTCTCCCAAAGTGCTAGGATTACAGGAGTAAGCCACTGCACCAAGACAGTTCTTTGTTAAATACTTTGGGTGGGAGGGGAGAAGAGGAAGTTTTTCTTTCTTTCTTTCTAATTTTTTAATAACATACATACTCATTGAGAGGAAGTTTTTATTAAAATGAAAATAATTACTGCTATTTAAAAATTTCATTTTTTGTGAGGACATCTTGCTGTAGATATTTTTAACTTCTTGATCATTGAATATGAGACCCTTCTAACATGATTTGAGACCTCAAGGTTGTAGGCTATGAAGATGGGAAAAGGCCATCCATCACTCTGGCTTCTTCCTGCCGACAGGGGACGTAGTAGGAATGGTGAGAAAGTGGAACTGCTTTGCAGTTGTCTGAGCTTACTCTTGCAGGCCTGGTTGAGCTTCCAAGGCTTGCGTGGCAAAAGCATTAGTACTCTCATCTCTAGTTTTAGTACAGTATTTATGTGAACAGCATACTATAAGGTAAATAACGAATCCTAGGATGAGGAGTACAGTTTCCAAGTTTAAAAGCAGACTGGAGGCCGGGCGCGGTGGCTCACGCCTGTAATCCCAGCACTTTGGGAGGCCGAGGCGGGTGGATCACAAGGTCAAGAGATCGAGATCATCCTGGTCAACATGGTGAAACCCCGTATCTACTAAAAATACAAAAAATTAGCTGGGCATGGTGGCGCGTGCCTGTAATCCCAGCTACTCAGGAGGCTGAGGCAGGAGAATTGCCTGAACCCGGGAGGTGGAGGTTGCGGTGAGCCGAGATCGCGCCATTGCACTCCAGCCTGGGTAACAAGAGCGAAACTCCTTCTCAGAAAAAAAGCAGACTGTGAAAGCATCAGTTTGGGGACTTTTAACACATAAAGCATTTAGAATTTAGGCTAAACTGCAGGAAAAAAAACCCCTGAAGAACAACTAACAACAGTGTACTAGTTTTTCTTCTGAAGCCTAATTTTTCTCTCTCTAGTCCCTGTTTTTGTTAAAAACAAATCCTGATAGAACTGATTTGCGTACAAAATAAACTTCAATCTTACTGTACTTGGCCTGACTATTTGCTGGGTTATCGAGGGATTTTCCAAAAACAAGCCTTTTCTGGAGTAACTCAGGTGTCACTGACCAAAATGTCCTACTTTTTTTTTTTGAGACGGAGTTTCGCTCTTGTTGCCCAGGCTGGAGTGCAATGGCGCGGTCTCGGCTCACTGCAACCTCCGCCTCCTGGGTTCAGGCAATTCTCCTGCCTCAGCCTCCTGAGTAGCTGGGATTACAGGCACGCACCACCACGCCCAGCTAAGGTTTTGTATTTTTAGTAGAGACGGGGTTTCACCATGTTGACCAGGATGGTCTCGATCTCTTGACCTCGTGATCCACCCGCCTCGGTCTCCCAAAGTGCTGGGATTACAGGCTTGAGCCACCACGCCCGGGGTGTCATACTTGTTTTGACTGGATTCCTTGAGGTGGAGGATCATGTGGTAAATTTTTGGGATTTTAAGGTCCAGTAAAGAATATTTTTTTCTCTCCTCCCAATTTAGGGGACCAATTAAGCTATAGATGCAAGAGAAAGATGAAGTTTTAAAAATAGTTTTAGGATAAAGTTGATCTGGGAATGTGGGGATCTGCAGCCAAATAGGTTAGGCTCTGTCTTAGGGTAACTCTGTCTTAGGGTAACTCTGTCTTAGGCTCTGTCTTAGGGTAACTCTGTCTTAGGGTAACTGTCTTAGGGTAACTCTGTTTTAGGGTAACTCTGTCTTAGGGTAACTCTGTCTTAGGCTCTGTCTTAGGGTAACTCTGTCTTAGGCTGTGTCTTAGGGTAACTCTGTCATAGGGTAACTCAGGCTCTGTCTTAGGGTAACTCTGTCTTAGGCTGTCTTAGGGTAACTCTGTCTTACGTAACTCTGTCTTAGGGTAACTCTGTCTTAGGGTAACTCTGTCTTAGGGTAACTGTCTTAGGGTAACTCTGTCTTAGGCTGTCTTAGGGTAACTCTGTCCTAGGCTCTGTCTTAGGGTAACTCTGTCTTAGGATAACTCTGTCTTAGGTAACTCTGTCTTAGGGTAACTCTGTCGTAGGGTAACTCTGTCTTAGGTTAACTCTGTCTTAGGTAACTCTGTCTTAGGGTAACTCTGTCGTAGGGTAACTCTGTCTTAGCCTCTGTCTTAGGGTAACTCTGCTTAGGATAACTGTCTTAGGGTAACTCTGTCCTAGGCTCTGTCTTAGGGTAACTCTGTCTTAGCGTAACTCTGTCTTAGGTAACTCTGTCTTAGGGTAACTCTGTCTTAGGGTAACTCTGTCTTAGGCTCTGTCTTAGGGTAACTCTGTCCTAGGCTCTGTCTTAGGGTAACTCTCTTAGGGTAACTCTGTCTTAGGGTAACTCTGTCTTAGGTTAACTCTGTCTTAGGCTGTCTTAGGGTAACTCTATCCTAGGCTCTGTCTTAGGGTAACTCTGTCTTAGGGTAACTCTCTTAGGGTAACTCTGTCTTAGGGTAACTGTCTTAGTGTAACTCTGTCCTAGGCTCTGTCTTAGGGTAACTCTGTCTTAGGCTGTCTTAGGGTAACTCTGTCTTCGGGTAACTCTGTCTTAGGTTAACTCTGTCTTAGGCTGTCTTAGGGTAACTCTGTCCTAGGCTCTGTCTTAGGGTAACTCTGTCCTAGTCTCTGTCTTAGGGTAACTCTGTCTTAGGCTGTCTTAGGGTAACTCTGTCTTAGGCTCTGTCTTAGGGTAACTCTGTCTTAGGGTAACTGTCTTAGGGTAACCCTGTCCTAGGCTCTGTCTTAGGGTAACTCTGTCTTTAGCTCTGTCTTAGGGTAACTGCCCTGCCTTAGGGTAACTCAATTCTTCATCACAACTTCAGGCCACCTACTTGCAGAGGAAGAGCCTGCCTCGGTCACCTGCCATGTGGACCAGCTCAGGTGCATCCTAAGGATGTGGGGTCAGAGGAAAGTGTGGCTGGGTGTCATGTTCTTAGGCCCTCTCCCAGCTTCACCCGACAGGCAGGTGACTCCTGCCACAGGGAGAGGGGCTGAGGGGCAAAGGGCCCCACTCTGGTCACTCTTGCTTGGAGACACAAGGCCCTCCTGGAGATTTTACGAGCATGAGTACATTGGGATTAAGGGCTTTTTCCCCCTTCAAATTGGACAGAGGGACAGATTGCTGAGGAATACATGTGGATTCTTTCCTCTGTGACACTCTCAAAGAATTGTTCCTGGGGCTGGGGTGCCACCTTCAGAGGCAGGAGTGTTTAGGAAACGCTGTAGTGGCACATGACCCTCGAGTGCTCCAGCAGCAGTAGCAGCCCCCGGGGAAGAGAGGGCAGCTGAGAATGCGAGAGCGCAAGGGCAGTGCTCCATCATTTCAGAGGGTTCTGTTCAAACAACATTTTCTAGTATACAATGAGAAAAGACCTGGGGCCAGGCGTGGTAGCTCACGCCTGTAATCCTAGAACTCTGGAAGGCCGAGGTGGGTGGATTACATGAAGTTGAGAGTTCGAGACTTGCCTGGTCAATGTGCTGAAACCTCATCTCTACTAAAAATACAAAAATTAGCCAGGCATGGTTTGCCTGTAGTCCCAGCTCCTCGGGAGGCTAAGGCAGGAGAATCGCTTGAACCCGGGAGGTGGAGGCTGTAGTGAACTGAGATTGTGCCACTGCACTCCAGCCTGGGTGATAGAGTGAGACTTGGTCTCAAAAAAAAAAAAAAAAAAAAAAAAAAAAAAAAAAGAGGACTGCTAGTGCACATCTCATAGGGCTGTCAGGAGGAGTAAGTGAAATCAGACACAAAGCATTTAGTTCAGCTCAACCAATGTTCATTCTCGCCTTGTCCCCACTGCATAACCCGTAACCCCAAATATCCCCCAAACACAGCTCATAACAATAAGATTCCTGTTTCCACCACGTTTAATTGTAAGAATAGAGATGATGATCAACTCTTGAGAAGAACCAGACTCTGGTGCCATCTTGGAAGTGTGGCATTGCCCGCTCTCACTTCCTTGAACAGTATTTCCGGATTTCTTCCGCAAGCCCCAGGCAGTGCAGGATGCGTTTCTTTTCAGCAGCCAGTTCCTTCTCAGAGAACTGGCCCAAGAGTTTCTGGACAAATATATTTTGATCTTTCAGAAATATGTTCTTATTTATTCCTACATTTGGCACATTCTCCAGGGACCCAGACTTGAAATGGAAGCTTAAATATCTGTTTCGTTTTAGACCAGGCCCTTTTTCTTCAATCCATGTCAGTGGACTGCAAAGACAAAAGACAAAAGAATCATGTCATGGTAGAGATGACACAAGAGCGCCAAGTGGGTACTTGCTGGCACACGACTGCCTGGTAACAGGTCCTGGTCAGGCACCCATCCTCCTTGCGGGCACCAGCCTCCCAGAGGCTGTGGGTGACTTTGTCAACTTCACGGCCAAACAGGCTTTTATTTAATTTTGCCATCAGGCAGGGAAATTCATTCAGTGACTTTTTTTTTTTTTTCCTGGGATGGAGCCTTGCTCTGTCACCCAGGCCGGAGAGCAGTGGTGCAGTCTCCACCCATTGCAACCTCTGCCTTCCAGGTTCAAGCAATTTTCCTGCCTCAGCCTCCCAAGTAGCTGGGACTACAGGTACACACCACACACCCAGCTATTTAAAAAAATATATTTTTAGTAGAGATGGGGTTTTGCCATGTTGGCCAAGCTAGTCTTGAACTCCTGACCTCAGGTGACCCACCCCCTCCTGGCCTCCCAAAGTGCTGGGATTAAAGGTGTAACCCACCACACCCAGCCTTCTGAGACTAGTTTTAAAAGTTCATAGTACAGTCTGGCAAATGTTCTGGGATATGGTAACAAAGATTAATTTTAGGGCAACTTATTCTCTACTTTGACACTGAATAAAAATAAATGAGGTATTTCTACATAGTCTAATCCACCTAAGAAAATGTCTCATGTCTTTTTTTTTCTTTTGTTTTTTGAGACAGTTTCACTTTTGCTGCCCAGGCTGGAGTGCAGTGGTGCAGTCTCTGCTCACTGCAACCTATGCCTCTGGGTTCAAGCAATTCTCCAGCCTCAACCTCCTGAATAGCTGGGATTACAGGTGCCTGCCGCCACGCCTGGTTAATTTTTGTATTTTTAGTAGAGATGGGGTTTCACTGCGTTGGCCAGGTTGGTCTCAAACTCTTGACCTTGGGTGATCCAACTCCTTAGCCTCCCAAAGGGCTAGGATTACAGGTGTGAGCCATCATGCCCGGCCTCTCATGTCCTTTTAAATAATATGAAATCTTGGGATTTAAGGGAATATAGAATGTCAAGATCTTTCTTGTACCTCAATTTCCTCACTAGTAAAAATAAGTAATGGTAATAAGTATATAGCTTTACCTATATGTGGTGACATTGTGAGACAAAAAAATGCAATTTGTGGCCAGGTATGGAGTCTGATATGGGTGGATCATTTGAGCCCAGGAGTTCAAGACCAGCCTAGACAACATGACAAAAACCCATCTCACCCAAAAATATGAAAATCAGCCAGTCTCCTAACCTGGTCTCAAAATAAATAAATAAATAAATAGATAGATAATTATTTTAAAAAAATGCAATTTGTGACATGGAAAGTACCATGATTTTAAGAAGTTATTATTATATGGTAGCTGCCCTCTGTCCCAACCCCTCATCTGATGCTTGCCTCTCCTGTGCAAAAATGAGAGTCAGGGCTGGGTGCGGTGGCTCACGTGTATAATACCAGCACTTTGGGAGGCCAAGGCGAACAGATCACTTGAGGTTAAGAGTTCGAGACCAGCCTGGCCAACATGTCGAAATCTCATCTCTACTAACGATACAAAAATTAGCCAGGCATGGTGGTGGGTGCCTTAGTCCCAGCTACTTGGGAGGCTAAGGCAGGAGAATCACTTGAACCTGGGAGGCAGAGGTTATAGTAAGCTGAGACTGCGCCACTATACTCCAGCCTGGGTGACACAGTGAGACTCTGTCTCATTCAGAAAAAAAAAGAGAGTCAGCCTTTGCCTCTCCCACATCTTTCCTCGTTGACTCCTACTCAACTTCAGACCAAACAAGGCACTGCTTCCTTCCAGAAGCATGAGCTGACCTGTCCAGGGTCCCATTCCCTGTGTTCCCACAGCACCCTACAGTATCTACATCACCCCACCTCTGATTACAGAGGACTGCAACTGTCTGTGGACAGGTCTGACCATGGCTGCAATCCTAACACTCACGTGGCCACACCGGAGCCTGGGCAACCACTGTCGGTGCACCACAGGCAGTCCTGCTGAGTTCTATGTGCTTTGCCTTTATCTGTCAGGCCTCTGCCTTTTCCTAACAAAGAAGAAACTCCTCAAAATGGACTAGATCAGGCTTCATTCAGGCACTCAAATTCTTTTCTCTTTTTAAAATACCCAATGTCGTCTTCTTCTTTTTTTTTTTTTTTGAGACAGAGTCTCATGCTGTCGCCCAGGCTGGAGTGTAGTGGCATGATCTTGGCTCATTGCAGCCTCACTCAGGGTGATCCACCCACCTCACCTCCCAAAGTGCTGGGATTACAGGTGTGAGCCACCACGCCAAGCCCAATGTCTGCTTCTTTTAGGAGACCCACCTCCCTGGAAAGCCATCAGGAAACACTCTAAAACCTTTACCGTTCTAAATAGTTTACAGAGCCCAGGTGCTTTGGGAGGAAAATTATGAATATGCTTTTGTTAAAAAGGACTTGGTATGAGAAGTAAGTCAGAATATATGGGGGACAGTGTGACAGTGTTATGTGATGATGACGGTGAGACACAGATCCTTGCACTCTGGCTGCACCAAGGGGTGAATGTGTGGTCCTGTAGGGAACACGTACAGTGTTAACGGCAGAGTCTAGGGAGTAGGTAGATGATGTTTACTGAAAAATTCTTTCAACTTCACCATATGCCTGAAAATTTTCATAAGAAATCACTGGAAAAAATTCAGATCACAGAGTTAACTTTTTTTTTTTTTTTTTTTTTTTTGAGACAGAGTCTTGCTTTGTTGCCCAGGCTGTAATACAGTGGCCTGATCTCAGCTCACTGCAACCTCTGCCTCCCAGGTTCAAGCAATTCTCCTGCCTTAGCCTGTCAAGCAGCTGGGACTATAGATGCGCACCACCACATCCAGCTAATTTTTGTATTTTTAGTAGAGATGGGGTTTCACCATGTTAGCCAGGCTGGTCTCGAACTACCAATCTCAGGTGATCCGCAAGCCTCAACCTCCCAAAGTGTTGGATTACAGGTGTGAGCCACCATGCCCAGCCAAGTTAACATAATTTCTATTACTAAATTTGCTATGAATGACTTGTGTGACTTAGGCAACCTGCTTACATTCTGTAAGCCTCAGTCTACTGACTGGCAGATGGGATTACGTTTGTCTCCTTTACCTCACAGGGTTGCTGAGAGGATGAGATGAGGCAACACAAGTGTGATCTCAGCACTCCATCTGCAGAAGCAGACAGCCCTTCTGGAGCTGAGACTGAGGGTCCAGCCCCTTGGGGCTCCCTTTAGATCACACCTGCAAATGCACTAGGATGTCTTAAATTGCCTCCTCATCATGGCTTCTCATGACTTACCTTTTCTTCTCTGTCTCCAGGCATACTGTCATTTTCATATACTGATCTTCCTTTCGCTCTTCCAAAGTAGCAGACACAAGAGAAAGCTCCCCAAAGAGGGAGACCAGCCAGGTCAGGCGAGAGATGCCGCTGAATGCGGGGAAGCCAAACCGCTCTTCTTCCAACGGGCCAGCTGTGGGAAATCACAAACGCTGTGGGAACTGGGAAGCAGGAAGGCCAGGTGGAGAGCAGGACCCAGGATCGGGGGTGGCAGTGGAATGAAAAGATGTGGCCAAGTGATCAGCACAATGGGGCCTTGTGCTACCTGCCTTATGTGGCAGGTAGACAAGATGATTAATGATACTGATGAAAACTCAGGTGGCTGAATTTAAACTCTACTATAAACCCATCTCTGTCTTTTCCTGTTTATTAGATTCAGTTTTAGTAAAACATTCTGCTGGAAACCACAGTCAATCCAGCCAAACAGAATAATAAAACAGTTTCAGGCTTCTAATATATACATCTATGTATACATATGTAGACACACATACATACGCGCATGTATCTACATATACATATGTATCTATCCTTTTAAATTAGTGACTTAAAGTAGTCTGGTAAAAGTAGAAGAATCAAGGTATTTTAGCCCTGCAAGTCTGTATTCTTATAATTACCTGGTATGTAAGTGACAATAGGGTGTGAAGGCATTATAATAGCTATAGAGAAAATGGTAATACCTTTGAGCTATTTCAGTATCAAGAAAACTGATACAATGTTAAATGTTTTCTTAGTCTTTCTAATCTTGTGAACAAAAAAGTACACTAAAAAGAATATTGGAGCCAGGCACAGTGGCTAATGCCTGTAGTCCCTGCATTTTGGGAGGCCGAGACAGGTGGATCCCTTGAGGTCAGGAGTTCGAGACCAGCCTGGCCAACATGGAAAAACCCATCTCTACTAAAAAAATTACAAAAATTAGCCAGCCATGGTGACAGGCGCCCGAAATCCCAGCTACTTGGGAGGCTGAGGCAGGAGAATTACTTGAGCCTGGGAGCGGGGAGGTTGCAGTGAGCCTAAAAAGGCCAGGTATGGGTAGCTCATGCCTATACCAGCACTCTGGGAGGCCAAGGCAGGTAGATTACTTGCGTCCAGGAGTTCAAGACCAGCCTAGGCAACATAGCAAGACTCTATCTCTACAAAATACACAAGCAAAATTAGGTAGGTGTGGTGGTACACACCTATAGCCCCAGCTACTTGGGAGGCTGAGGTGAAAAGATCATCTGGGTCTGAGGAGTTCGAGGCTGCAGTGAGCCGTAACTGCACCATAACATTCCAGCCTGGGTGACACAGTGACACCCTATTTCAAAAAATATATATAGAAATTAAAAAAAAGAGTATTGGTGTGAGAAATCCATTTGGTCAAGATACTGCTCCCCTCTGCCTCCAGTCAAAATCTTAAACATAACCTAAGTTTAAAATACTTCATATCTGTTACATTATAAACATTTCTGAGCCTCTTGATATTCACTTAAAAATGACTAAAAACAATGAGTATATTCTTAAAAAGCAGTAAGTTATATATAAAACCAAACACAAATTAGAAGTTTCATAGACAGCATGGTTTGAAATCACTAGGACCTAAGTAACAAACTTACAAAACAGGAAGACTTCCCAGGGCTGGTTACTTCTGCTCTAGTTCTTTTTGTTTGTTTGTTTGTTTTGTTTTGTTTTGTTTTGTTTTGTTTTGTTTTTTTGAGACAGAGTTTCGCTCTCGTTACCCAGGCTGGAGTGCAATGGCACGATCTCGGCTCACCGCAACCTCCGCCTCCTGGGTTCAGGCAATTCTCCTGCTTCAGCCTCCTGAGTAGCTGGGATTACAGGCACGTGCCACCATGCGCAGCTAATTTTTTGTATTTTTAGTAGAGACGGGGTTTCACCATGTTGACCAGGATGGTCTCGATCTCTCGACCTCGTGATCCACCCGCCTCTGCCTCCCAAAGTGCTGGGATTACAGGCTTGAGCCACCGCGCCTGGCTGTTTGTTTGTTTTTAAGACAGAGTCTTGCTCTGTTACCCAGACTATGCAGTGGCACGATCTTGGCTCACTGCAACCTCTGCCTTCCAGGTTCAAATGATTCTCCTGCCTTAGCCTCCCAAGTAGCTGAGATTGCACGTGCGTGCCACTACGCCTGACTAATTTTTGTGTGTGTGTGTATATATATATATATATATATATTTTTTTTTTTTTTTTTTTTTTTTTTTTAGTAGAAATGGGGTTTCACCGTCTTGGCCAGGCTGGTCTTGAACTCCCAACCTCAGGAAATCCACCCGCCTCAGCCTCCCATACTGCTGGGATTATAGGCATGAGTCACTGTGCCCAGCATAGTTCTTTGGAGAGAGTACTAAGCAGCCACCAACAGCAGTTCCATCCACTTAGAGAGCTGAGCTCTAATCCGGCTCTGTCTCATGAATGCTGTGTGACCTCTGTGAAGCCACTTATGTCTCTGAGCTGCTTCAGTTTATCTGTATAATGGGGGTAGTGAATACCACTTTATAGGACTCTCATATGGATTAAGATAATTTAAATTGAGGCCGGGCGCGGTGGCTCAAGCCTGTAATCCCAGCACTTTGGGAGGCCGAGGCGGGTGGATCACGAGGTCAAGGGATCGAGACCATGCTGGTCAACATGGTGAAACCCCGTCTCTACTAAAAATACAAAAAAATTAGCTGGGCATGGTGGCTCATGCCTGTAATCCCAGCTACTCAGGAGGCTGAGGCAGGAGAATTGCCTGAACCCAGGAGGTGGAGGTTGCGGTGAGCCGAGATCGTGCCATTGCACTCCAGCCTGGGTAACAAGAGCGAAACTCCACCTCAAAAAAAAAAAAAAAAAAAAAAAAAAAAGATAATTTAAATTGCATACTTAGCACAGTTTCTTGTACAACTTAATAGTTTGTACCCTCATTACAGTACCATTTTCAAGGATGAAGACAGATTTGAAATGAGGTTTTACTGTGTATCAGAGGCTTTACCATGCAAAAATTCCAGGCCATGTCAGGGTCTCCTTTCTGTAATGAAAGCTCTCAGGAGTGGTGGCCCAGATGCCCAATGATACAGCCAGAGAAGGGACCATCCAGAAGTGACCACAAGAGCAGGAGGTTCCTGCATGCTCATTTCCATTGCTAATGGAGCTGCTCACACAGTGACCAACATCAAGTAAATAGCTACACATACAGCAGATCAGATACTGTGGTCAGCTGGGTGTGGTACCTCATGCCTATAATCCTAGCATTTTGGGAGGCCAAGCCAGGAGGATCACTTGAGCCCAGGAGTTTGAGACTGGCTTGGTCAACATAGAGACACTGTCTACAAAAATTTTAAAATTAGCTGGGCATTGTGGCATACACCTGTGGTTCCAGCTACTTGGGAGGCTGGCGTGGGAGGATTGCTTGAGCCTGTGAGGTTGAGGCTACAGTGAGCTATGATTGTGCCACTGCACTCCAGCCTGGGCAATAGAGTAAGACTTTGGCTAAAAAAAAAAAAAAAAAAAAAAATACTGTGGTTGCTGCGAATGTCCTTGTAACTTGTGAGAGGAAGAAGGGGGCTCTTCATTATTATATTTGCTTTGCAAGGAAGTATAAAAATGTTCTCCTCTCCAAGCACCTATCTTCTTTTAAAAGAGTTTTAATGTACACCTTCCTGTTGAAAAATGATCTTCAACTAGTTAACAGATTGGGACAAAGCAGAAATACGCTTGCGATTTCTAACATACTTTTTACCCAAGGCCCACCAAGCAATTCAATCCCATCTGGGAAAATTAAATTGGCCGAGTCAGACAGTCTTGAGCAGAAATGAACACAGGTTCCCACCCTAGAGAGCCAGGAAAGATCCTGTCACTGACCTGTGAAGAGGAGCGACCCTTTCAGCAGGTCTTTCCCCACCACTTCTTTTTTTAGAAATGCGAATTCCTCCATCAAGAGTTCAACATGCTCCTCGTGCAAGACTTTGCCTGTAACGACAAAAATGGAATAAAAATGGCACTTGTCAGTTGTGTCTAGGTGTGTATCCTGGAGTGTACTCTGTCTTCCCCTAACATAGGATATGCAGCACTGATAACTGCCCTGGGCACACGGTCAGGATGGCCTCCCTACCACTGTTACCCACCCCAGCTGAAGAGGCTGCCACTTCTAAGCTTATAACAGAAATGAATGAAATGAAGGCCAGGAATGGTGGCTCACACCTGTAATCCCAGCACTTCAGGAGGCCAACACTGGCAGATCACCTGAGGTCAGGAGTTCAAGACTAGCCTGGCCAACATGGTGAAACTCCATCTCTACTAAAAAATATTAAAAATACAAAAATTAGCTGGGTGTGGTGGTGGGCACCTGTAATCCCAGCTACATGCGAAGCTGAGGTAGGAGAATTGTTAGAACCCAGGAGGCGGAAATTGCAGTGAGCCAAGATTGCATCTCTGCACTCCAGCCTGGACGACAGAATGAGACTCCATTTCAAAAACAAACAAACAAAAAAAAAAAAAGAAAAAAAGAGAAATGAATGAAATGAAAACCTGAGAAATGAAATGAAAATCTTAAGAAATCAAGATGGTATCTACCCATGCCCAAAGGGAAGATGAAATCAGGGATGCATCTTTGGGCCAGGACAGAGTTAGCTTCTATTATAGACAGCAGGAGGCAGTGCAGCGTAAAAATCTAACAGAGTAAGAACGTGGCCAGGTGTGGTGGCTCATGCCTATAATCCCAGCACTTTGGAAAGCCAAGGCAAGTGGCTCGCCTAAGTTCAGGAGTTTGAGACCAGCCTGGGCAACATGGCGAAATCTTGTCTCTACAAAAAACACAAAAAATTAGTCAGGTGTGGTGGCATGCACCTGTGGTCCCAGCTACTTGGGAGGCTGAGCTGGGAAGATCACTTGAACTTGGGAGGTGGATGTTTCAGTAAGCCAAGATCATGCCACTGCACTCTAACCTGGGTGACAGAGTGAGACCCTGTCTCCGAGAAAAAAAAAAAAATCCAGTTTGGAGGGAGGAGAAAGCCTTAATATTCATAACTAAAATTTTGAATTCTGGCCAGGTACAGTAGCACATGCCTGCAATCCCAACTCTTTGGGAGGCTGAGGTCAGGAGTTTGAGACAAGACTTGGTTTGAACCCGGGAGGTGGAGGTTGCAGTAAGCCAAGATCATGCCACTGCACTCCAGCCTGAGAGACAGAGTGAGACCCCCATTTCAAATAATAATAATAATAATAATAATAATAATAAAATAAATTTTGGATTATAAAAGAAAGCTGTTAACAATTTTTTTACACTATAAAAATTTTTCGTTTCTAGGCCACAAGCTTCCTAAAACACCAGAATTATTTTGTGATTAAGTGCAAAGAGTGTTTATGATCTATCTACAGTTTCACTGAAACAGACAGAAATCTGGGCCGCTGGGAGATGCTGCTGAGACAGTAGCCTTTGTCTAACCCAGCTTCACAGCAAATGCTGCCAAATGCTCTGGGCTTGTCCTGCACCTCAGGAGCAAAGAGATGTCTGTAGCAGGAGTCTCCAGAAATGTCAGGTGTATGGGAGGATGAGGTCCTTCTCACTCACTCCCTAAGACGTGAATGTGGCAAAGGGAACTTCTCATGATAAGTAGAAGCTTTCTGGCACAAAATGGCTTTGCAACAACTAAATGGCACAAAATGCTCTGCAATAAGTAGAAGGCTTTCTCCTTGCAGGTAGTTTCGCTAACCCTTCCCGTAAAACTGGGGAACATGGTGTATTTTCCCCAGCACTATGTAACAGTCTCTGGGTTTCCATATCCATGGTTACCAAAGAACCTATGTATCTTCCAACTGTGTCTTTGGTGTTTTTCTGTCATTTACTCAATCCCTGATTGTGTTAAACACACATGGTAACCACAGTACACACAAACATCCATATATCTTTTTTTTTTTTTTTTGAGACGGAGTTTCGCTCTTGTTGCCCAGGCTGGAGTGCAATGGCGCGATCTCGGCTCACCGCAACCTCCGCCTCCTGAGTTCAGGCAATTCTCCTGCCTCAGCCTCCTGAGTAGCTGGGATTACAGGCACACGCCACCATGCCCAGCTAAGTTTTTGTATTTTTAGTAGAGACGGGGTTTCACCATGTTGACCAGGATGGTCTCGATCTCTTGACCTCGTGATCCACCCGCCTCGGCCTCCCATAATGCTGGGATTACAGGCTTGAGCCACCGCGCCCGGCCAACATCCATATATCTATATATTCCCAGGTCTATTCACTGAAAGGGCTTGGAGAGATAGCCCAAAGCCATAAGCATACCCAGTGTCCAAATCTTCCCATAAAAACATTATTAGCCGTTGCTGATTTGACTCATTGCAAGGCTGAGGCAGAGAAAGTACAAGATGAGCCTAAACCACTTTAGCCGGAAAGCAAGAATTCAAAGAATAATGGAAACATAACAAAATAACGGATTAAAATCCACTGAATAAAAAAACAAAGCCATGAGTTTCTACTGATATAAAATAATAAATGAATACCAGAAAGTGTGATGAGAATGGATATCTAACTAGTTATAAACTACCTCCTCACAAAATAATCACTGATTACAAAGGGAAAAAAGGCTGGGTGTGGTAGGTCAGGCCTGTAATCCCAATACTTTGGGAGGCTGAGGCAGGCAGATCATGAGGTCAAGAGATTGAGACCATCCTGGCCAACATGGTGAAACCCCATCTCTACTAAAAATACAAAAATTAGCTGGGCGTGGTGGCACGCGCCTGTAGTCCCAGCTACTCAGGAAGCTGAGGCAGAAGAATCCCTTGAACTCAGGAAGCAGAGGTTGCAGTAAGCAGAGATCCCACCACTGCACTGCAGCCTGGCAACAGAGAGAAACTCCATCTCAAAAAAAAAAAAAAAAAATTAACTTTCAGTGGAAAAGCCCGTCAGACACCACCTAATGAAGTGATATCATTAGTAATTAGATGAACTGGTATTGGATGTTACCTGAGAGAACACAATGTGAAAAACGGCATAGTTTCCTTTTTTTTTTTTTTTTTTTGTGAGACAGAGTCTCACTCTGTTGCCCAGGCTGGAGTATAGTGGCATGATCTTGGCTCACTGCAACCACCGCCTCTCAAGTTCAAGCAATTGTCGTGCCTCAGCCTCCCAAGTACCTGGCATTACAGTTGCCCACATCACACCTGACTAATTTTTTTTGGTGTTTTTAGTAGAAACAGGGTTTTACCATGTTGGCCAGGCTGATTTTGAACTCCTGACCTCAGGTGATCCGCCCACCTTGGCCTCCCAAAGTGTTAGAATTACAGGCATGAGTCACCATGCCTGGCTGCTTCCATCATATTTCTATGAAAGATGCATACCTCAAATCTAATCTTGAAGAAACATCAGATATACTCAAATTTAGGGACAGTTTACAAAATAACTAACTGTAATATTCATAATTGTCAAGAAAAGACTGAGGAACTGTCTAGAATGAAGGGCACTAAAAATGACATGTCACACTAAAGATAATACATGATTCTGAACTCAGTCATTTTCCCATCAAGAATGTTATTGGGACAACTGGTGAAATTTGAATGAGGTCTGAGGATTAGCTTGTTGTAATGTACCCATCCCAGTTTCTAGATGTTGATGATTGTATGTGGTTACACGCATACCTCAGAGATCCTGCATGTTTCATTCCAGACCACAATGAAGTGAATATTGCAATAAAGGGAGTCATACAAATGTTTTAATTTCTTGGTGCATATACAAGTTATGTTGATATTATATTGTAGTTTGTTAAGTATGTGATAACACTATGTTTAGGAAAACAACATACTTACCTTAATTTAAAAATACATTATTGGGCCGGGCACGGTGGCCTGCACCTATAATTTCAGCATTTTGGGAGGCTGAAGTGGGTGGATCACTTGAGGCCAGGAGTTCAAGACCAGCCTGGCCAACATGGTGAAACCCCATCTCCACTAAAAATACAAAAATTAGCCAGGCATGGTGGTGTGCACCTGTAATCCCAGCTACTCAGGTGGCTGAGGCACAATAATCATTTGAACCCAGGAGGTGGAGGTTGCAGGGAACTGAGATTGTGTCACTGCATTCAAGCCTAGGTGACAGAGTGAGACTGTCTTAAAAAAACCTAAACCAAAACCCAAACATCTGATTCTTCAGCAAGTCATAATCTTTTTGCTGGAGAAGGTCTTGCTTCCATGTTGATGGCTGCTGACTGATCAGGGTGGTGGTTCCTGATGGTGGCTGTGAATTTGATTTGCATTTCTATGAGGATTCTTGGTATTGAGCATCTTTTCATATGATTGTTTGCTGTCTGTATAACTTCTTCAGAAAAATGTCTATTCAAGTCCTTTGCCCATTTTAAAATCAGGTTATTTGGTTTGTTTGTTGTTGTTGAGTTGTAGAGTTCTTTAGACATTCTGCATACTTTTTTTTTTTTTTTTTTGAGACAGAGTTTTACTCTTGTTACCCAGACTGGAGTGCAATGGCGCGATCTCGGCTCACCGCAACCTTCGCCTCCTGGGTTCAGGCAATTCTCCTGCCTCAGCCTCCTGAGTAGCTGGGATTACAGGCACGCGCCACCATGCCCAGCTGATTTTTTTGTATTTTTAGTAGAGACGGGGTTTCACCATGTTGACCAGGATGGTCTCAATCTCTTGACCTCGTGATCCACCCGCCTCAGCCTCCCAAAGTGCTGGGATTACAGGCTTGAGCCACCGCGCCCGGTCGACATTCTGCATACTGATCTCTTATCAAAGACAAGATTTGCAAATATCTTCACCAATTCCATAGACTGCCTTTTCACTGATGATTGCTTCCTTTGAGGCACAGAAGGTTTTAAGTTTGATTAGTCCATTTGTTTTTGCTGCTTTTGCCTGTGTTTTTGATGTCCTACGTAAGACGTTATTGCCAAATCCAATGTCATTATGCTTTCCCTCATTTTCTTCTAAAAATATTATAGTTTTAGGTGTTAAATTTAGTTCTTTAATCACTTTGAGTGAATTTTTTAGAAGGTGTAAGGTAAATGTCTAACTTCATTCTTTTGCATCCTGTTTTCCTGGGACCACTTTTTGAAGAGACTCAAACATTTGGTTGAATTCTCCAGCGAAGCTATCTGGTTTTAGGCTTTTCTTTATTGGGAGGTATTTAATTACTGATTCAATCTCCTTACTAGTTATAAGTCTGTTCAGATGTTTATTTCTTCATGATTCAGTCTTAGTAGGTTATGTGCTACTAGGAATTGATCCTTTTCTAGGTTATCCCATTGTTGGAGTGTAACACTTTTATAACTGTTCATTGTAGTCTCATAATCCTTTTCATTTCAGCAGAATCGGTTGTAATGTCTCCTATTTCACTTCTGACTTTAGTTTGAGTCTTCACTCTTTTTTCTTAATCTGCTAAAATTTTGTCAATTTTATGGATTTAAAAAAACAATTCTTGGCTTTGTTGATTTTTTTTCTATTGCTTTTCTTCTCTTTCTCTTTTGTTTATGTTCTAATCTTTACTTGTTTCTTTCTGCTAATTTTGATTGCGTTTGCTCTTCTTTTCCGAGTTCCTTAAAATGTAAAGTTAGGATGTTGATTTGAAATGTAGGTCCTTCACATTTCAAGAAACTAGGAAAAGAAGAGCAAACTCAATCCAAATGTTACTGTAAGCATTTACAAGTATATACTTCTATCTTAGTACTGCTTTCATAACATCTCGTCAGTTCTGTAGCGTTTTGTTTTGTTTGAGCAGTCTAACTTTGTTGCCCAGGCTGGAGTGCGGTGGTGTGACCTCCCTCACTGTAACCTCTGCCTCCTGGGTTCAAGCAATTCCCCTGCCTCAGCCTCCCCAGTAGCTGGGAATTCTAGGCGCATGCCACCATGCCTGGCTAATTTTTGTATTTTTAGTAGAGATGGGGTTTCACCATGTTGGCCACGTTGGTCTTGAACTCTTGACCTCAGTTGATTCGCCTGTCTTGGCTTCCCAAAGTGCTGGGATTACAGGCACAATCTATTTTATTATTTATTTATTTAATTTTTGAGATGGGAGTCTCACCGTGTCACCCAGGCTGTAGTGCAATGGCACAATCTTGGCTCACTGCAACATCCACCTCCCGAGTTCAAGTGATTCTCATGCCTCAGCCTCTGGAGTAGCTGAGATTACAGGTATGTACCACCATGCTGGCTAATTTTTGTATTATTAGTAGAGATGGGGTTTCACCATATTCCCCAGGCTGGTCGTAAAATCCTGACCTCAGGTGATCCACCAGCCTCGGCCTCCCAAAGTATTGAAATTACAGGTGTGAGCCACCGTGCCCAACCACACAATCTAGTTTAAACTGCTAACAACTTAACATCAATCATATACAATTCTACTTCTTTACAGCTCTGGCCCCCCATTTTGTTACTGATGTTACAAATTAAATCTTTTTATACTGTATATCCATTAACATAGTTTTATAGTTATTTTTGTGTTTTTGTCTTTTAAATTCTATACCAGCATTTAAAGTTATTTATTTATTTATTTATAACACCCAGGCTGGAGTGCAGTGGCACCATCGCAGCTCACTGCAACCTCTTCCTCCCGGGTTCAACTGATTTTCCTGCCTCCGTCTCCTGAGTAGCTGGGAGTACAGGCATACGCCGCCACACGCCCAGGTCATTTTTATATTTTTAGTAGAGATGGGGTTTCACCATGTTGGCCAGGATGGTCTCGAACTCCTGACCTTAAATGATCTGCTTGCCTCAGCCTCCCCAAGTGCTGGGATTACAGGCTTGAGCCACCGTGCCCAGGCTAAAGTGATACATATGTCAACATTACAATACTACAGAAGTCTGTATTTCTCTATATATTTACCCTTACCAAAGAATTCCTTTAGCATTTCCTGTAGAGCAGGTCTAGTAATGATCAACTCACTTGGTTTTTGTTTGTCTGGAGTCTTTTTTTTTTTTTTTAAGGCAGAGTTTTGCTCGTTGCCCAGGCTGGAATGCGATGGCATGATATCAGCTCATTGCAACCTCCGCCTCCCAAGTTCAAGTGATTCTCCTGCCTCAGTCTCCCGAGTAACTGGGATTACAGGCATGTGCCACCACATCTGGCTAATTTTGTATTTTTAGTAGGGATGGGGTTTCTCCATGTTGGTCAGGCTTGTCTGGAACTCCTGACCTCAAGTGATCTGCCCACCTCATCCTTCCCAAGTGCTGGGATTACAGGCGTGAGCCACGGCGCCCAGCCTGGGTAAGCCTTTTTAAAATTTTTTATTTTTATTTTGAGACAGGGTATCACTCCGTTGCCCAGACTAGAGTGCAGGGGCCCAACCACTGTTTACTGCAGCCTCGACCTCCCAAGGTTCAGGTGAATTTTGGCGTAGCTGGGACTACAGGTGTGTACCACCACACCCAGCTAATTTTTGTATTTTTAGTAGAGATAGGGTTTCGCCATGTTGCCAAGGCTGGTCTCAAACTCCTGGGCTCAAATAATCTACCCAAAGTGCTGGGATTACAGCTGTGAGCCACTGTGCCCAGTGAGTCTTTTTTTTGTAATTAAAACTTTTGTACACCAGGCATGGTGGCTCATGCCTGCAATCCCAACACGTTGGAAGGCCAAGGTTGGTGGATCACGAGGTCAGGAGTTTGAGAACAGCCTGGCCAACATGGTGAAACCCTGTCTCCACTAAAAATTAGCTGGGCATGGTAGTGGGCGCCGGCAATCCCAGCTACTCAGGAGGCTGAGGAAGAAGAAACTCTTGAACCCAGAAGGCAGAGGTTGCAGTAAGCTGGGATGGTGCCTTTGTGTAATAGAGAACAGAATGTTATAAAGGCATGAGAGTTTCTGGGTGACATAGTGAGACTCTGTCCCCTACCCAAAAAATAATTTTGTAAAAAGTTTTTGGCCGGGCACGGTGGCTCACGCCTGTAATCCTAGCACTTTGGGAAGCTGAGGCGGGTGGATCATGAGGTCAAGAGATCGAGACCACCCTGGCCAACATGGTGAAACCTCGTCTCTACTAAAAATACAAAAATTAGCTGGGTGTGGTGGTGCGTACCTGTAGTCCCAGCTACTTGGGGGGCTGAGACAGGAGAATTGCTTTAACCCGGGGGCAGAGATTGCAGTGAACCGAGATTGCACCAGTACACTCCAGCCTGGCGCCTGGCGACAGAGCAAAGCTCTGTCTCAAAAAAAAAAAAAAAAATTTTTTTTTTTTTTTTTTTTTGTAGAAACAGGGTCTATGTTGCCCAGGGTTGTCTGAGCTTTGGCCTCGCAGAGTTCTGGGATTACATGAGCCATTGCTCCTGGCCTGGGAAAGTCTTGTTTTCTCCCTTCCGGAGGGTGGTGTGGCTTAGGGCAACAAATGTGAACCCAAGAGCCCAACAGGATTTGATTCAAATCTCTACCTCCCACTTAGTAGTCATGTTATTAGCTTTGTGACCGGGCACAAATCATTTCACTTCTTTGGGCCATGTTTTTCTATGCAGAATCTAGAGAAAATATCCACCTCCAAGGGTTTCTAGAGGGATTAAGCAAAATAACATATGAAGTACTTAGCAGAGTTTCCAGAAGCTGATAAGTTTGACCAAAGTTTGCAAATTCCCACCCATCCTTCTGCCCTCCACTGTGTGTGCCTACAGCATGGAGCTGAGGAGGCAGCTGGGAGCCCACAGTGCCAGTAGCCAGGGGGAGATATCTGAAATTGGGTTAAGTTTTAAAGATATGACATCTCAGAAATCCTGGAGGCAGAAACTCTTGGTAAGAGGGTCTGTATTCCAGACAGACAGAGTATACATTACCTTTCTGCTCAGCCAGCTCCCATAGTTCCTGAGCTGCCACCAACGACAGTGTCATGGGGTATTCCACAAGGACATGCTTGCCAGCATTAAGGAACTGCCTTTGGTAAATGAGGAAAATACAGAGAAAGAACACTTGGAATAAGCTTCACTAAAATGCTCTGCGTAATAGAGAAAAGAATGTTATAAAGGCACGAGAGTTTCTGTGTGTGACTGTGTCATGACTGGGGTAGAGGCAGTGCCATGGGATATGAAGGAACTGTATCCCACGTTGCTCTCTACTATCCTGTGACAGAACGACTTTGTAGTTATGTGTTAATTTGAACATTCAACCATTCATTTATTCAGTTAAGTACTATTTACCAATTACTCTGGAGACGAAATGAAAATACATTAATAAATAAATTTCCTCTTACCACATGGTAGCTATAAAGGCTACCAAAAAATGGCAGCTAGCTTTGCCTGAGGCAGTCTGAAGAGATTTCACTAAGGACCTATGAACTGGGTCTCAAAGTATGGGCAGACATTTTCCAGGTGCAACGTGATGAGTGTATTTCACTGTGAGCAGTGTATGCAGGGGCTTCAGCTTTTGTGGGGCTTTGTTCAACTGGCAAATTTCAGTGTGGAAGGAGAGTGGGCTACAGGCAGTGGAGGATAATAACGTCAGAAAAGTAGCTGGGGGCTTGACTGTGAAGGACTTAGAATTCTGTGCTCAGCAGTTCACATTTCATTCTCTGGATATCAGGGTACAAATATTTAAAAGCATGGGACTTGTGACATAACTACTTTTCTTAGGGAAATACACTCCAGCGCCAGAAAAGGTTAAGGAAAGCCAAGGAAAGGCGTTTTTGTCCACTCTAGAGCTAGACTCATAAAGAGGAAGCATCTTACCCGTGGGAAACAGCATGGTGGGAGCAAGTGTACGAACCTAGAAGGAAGCTAGACTGAGGAAGGCAGCTGGCACTTCCCTGTTAGCTCCCAGGTCCTGAGGTTAAAGGAACCCTCAGAGTTATTTTATGACATTGAAAGTACAAAGGAGAAAATGCTGGAAGCTGATCCAACTTGAGAAAGGGGTATGATGATTCGCCAAGGATGCCAGCTCCACATCCTAAGCTGTCTGATGAGAAGGGGGCCACTACTGTTGAAAACTACTTTTGATGGGTTTTTACAGAGAAATAAAATACTTTAATTCAGAATGTTTCTGTTTCAAATTACACATTAGTCTAAATATTAATTTTACTATTTTTTCATTTCCTTATATATTTATAACCAACAATAAGAGTTTCTTTTTTCTTTTAATAAAGATGGGGTTTCACCATGATGGCCAGGCTGGTTTTGAACTCCTGACCTCAGGTGATCCACCCACCTCCGCCTCCCAAAGTGCTAGGATTACAGGCGTGAGCCACCATGCCTGGCAAGAGTTTCTTAATGTTTTGACATTTCTGTGATTGGTCACAGAGCAATTGTAATTTTCCCATGGACTCTTCTGACTCCTTTGCAGGGTGTTTTAGCTTTGCTTGCTCATTTTTCCAGTTCTGCACTGCTGTATAAGGCAAGGACTGCCTGTGTGGAAAACCTACCTGATGTAGTCCTCATGGCTGGAGCTCTCACTGCAGATATAGGCGACTTCCACCTCTTGGCTGGAAAGAGCATCCTCCAAAGAAATCTGCTGGACTCCATCAATGCTCCCAAGCTCCCGTCTATTTCAGAGTAGCAGGGAAATGGAACTCAACGGTAGACAGAAGAAAGGAGCACCATTCTTCTCCCTCCCAACAAGGTTTTGGTGATCTGCTACCAGAAGTGAAGAAATGAGTTTCCTCTCCCCCACTTCTAGGCTATTTTCCATGGTGGAGTGAGAAAAATAGCCTCAGGGTTGAAGTCAGGGGACCTGGCATTGAGTGCCTTCAGTACCATTCACAGCGTGAATGACCTAAGAGTCTTGAATTACTTCATCTCTAAAATAAAAAGAACAGCTGGGCGTGGTGGCTCACGCCTGTAATCCTAGCACTTTGGGAGGCCAAGGAGGGCATATCACTTGAGGTCAGGAGTTCAAGACCAGCCTGACCAACATGCTGAAACCCCGTCTCTACAAAAAATACAAACGTTAGCCAAGCATGATGGCGGGTGCCTGTAATCCCAGCTACTTGGGAGGCTGAAGCAGGAGAATCACTTGAACCCGGGAGATGGAGGTTGCAGTGAGCCGAGATTGAGCCACTGTACTCCAGCCTGGGTGACAGAGCGAGATTCCTTAAAATAAAATAAAATAACAGGAACAATCTACTTTTATCTCATGAGAAGTGATCTCTATGGTCACTTCCAGTTCCAAGCACTTGGCCAAACCATAATACTGGTTTGGTAGATATAATACTACCAAACTTAATCCAAATCTAATACACTAACACATTAAGCATGCAAACTGCCATCCAACTTCAAGCTCCTTTATAGCTGAGCTAACAAAGCCCAATGGTATGTATGCACACGTGTGTGTATGTGTGTGTATCTTCCTCCCTGTAGCAGACTAAGCTCATTGGAAGGTGAGGATTTTAATTTGTTCTCTATGATTTCTCCTACAGTGCCTAGCACTATAGGCAGTGATAGCCTGACTAGCCAGGAGCAGAGGCAGGAGGGGAACACAGGGCCTTCTGATTCTTCAAGAGCATGGAGGAGCTGCAGTGTTTGAAGAGCCAAAGCCCTGGCAATCCGTACACTGCCCAGTAGAGAGACTGGGGCAGGAGAGTAGCCCTCTAAGGGGGGCAGTCATGGGGGAATGTGGGACAGCCAGCAAGCAGGAGGCCCTCAGCCAGCTCAGAGCTCCAGCTGAGTTGCAGCAGGCGAAAGCATTTGGGGAAATCTGGCTCCCAAAGGGTATTATGCTAGGTTTCTTCTAATGGGGCCACCCAAACTACATTGCTCAATTTCAGCAATACTTATTGTTTGCCAATTACGTCCTAGCAACTGTAGGAGAAATCATGGAGAACAAATTAAAATCCTCGCCTTCCAAGGCACTCATTCTGGTAGAGGAAGACACACACACACACACACACACACACACACACACACACACACAAAAGCGCGCATGTGCACACGCATGTGTACATCACACCACCACAAGACTACCAGGGGAAATGTGGTACTTGGAAGTAGGAGATGGACACTCAGGGAGGGCAAGAAATAGATAAGAAAAGGCTTCCTGGGGAGGTGGTAGAACTTAGCAGGTAGGTCAGGAGGGGACGGGTATGTGAAGAGGGAAACAGTGTGAGTCCTGGCAGGGTGCTGTAATGCAGGGGAGTGACCTGCCATCCTCCCACACAGCCTGGGTAGTGTAGGTGTTCCCACTGAGCTGATCCTGGAAGCCAACTGGCGGAGGACTCGGGGTTAAGGGAAAAGGAGAGGTCCTACTTCAGCCCTGAGCCCAAGTGCTGTGCTTGGTCCCAGCTCCACGTAGGGGTGCGATGGGGGTGACAGAGCTGCCTGATATTAACTCCCTTGAAATCTTATGGGGAGGAGAAGGCTGCTCAAGGGCAGATTCTAGCACTTCTGGGTCTCCCTGGTGCCCCAAAGCCCATTTTAAATCCTTAAAAGTGGGGCCACGTTTTGAGACAGGTGGGTAGAGGATGGTCCCATGAATGAAAACATGAAAAAACTTCCGCATGGACCATTGCAATTGTCCCTTATGCTTTGTGTAAATATTCATCTGATGTCTCTAAAGCACTAGAAAAAGAGTTGCCTAACTTACTTCTTGCCACGTCTCCAGGCCCAGTCCAGTGCCTGCTCCTCGTCCACAATTCATATGGATAAATGATGTTATACAGGATTATTCTGGTGCCTCTAGTTCACAATTAATACAGACAAATGCTGTTATACAGGATTAATCTAGTGAGTGATGTGTGTGTCTGTGTGTATAGGAGTCAGTGGAAGAGTTGAGCATGGGGCAGGGAAGAAGGAACAAGGTGATAAGTTTGATTTTGACTGGAGATAAATGAATCCTTAAAGAAAAGGGGGAGGCTGGGTTTGGTGGCTCACACCTGTAATCTCAGCACTTTGGGAGGTTGAGGCAGGAGGATCACTGGACCCCAGGAGTTTGAGACCAGTCTAGGCAACATAAGGGTACCCTGTCACGTCTATAAAAAATAAAAAAAAAAATTAGCCAGGCATGATGGTTTGTGCCTGTAGTCCCAGCTACTTAGGAGGCTGAGGCTGGAGGATCACTTGAGCCCAGAAGGTCAAGGCTGCAGTGAGCTGTGATTGCACCATTGCATTGCAGCTTGGGTAACAGAGTGAGACCCTGTCTCAAAAAAAAAAAAAAAAGAAAAAGAAAAAAAGTGAGGCTCAAAATTACCAATGGGAAAAGAACACATGTTGTTTAAAAGATGGGCTTTGGAATCAGACTTCTGCTCAGCTTTAATTCTTAGACTTTCCAGCTGTGTGACCTCAGGCAGATTATTTAACCTTTCTGTGGCTCAGCCCTCCTTATCTGCAAACTGGGGGTTGATAACGCTACCCAGAAGGGAATATCCTAAGTAGAGCCCAGGACCACCTAGGATGGCTGTCACGATGACTATGTCAGGATTACCAGGTACACACCGAAAGCCTTTCAGGCCAAAGCCCCCTGTGTTTGCAGTGCCCATTCTCTAACTGTCAGCCTTAAGCTCACCCTCCTGCCTCTGTCTTTGTAGTCTCCCCAGGCTGACCTACTGTGCATCCCAGCTGTAGGCCCAGCAGGCTTCAGTTCCCAGACCCATCCCAACCTGAGATCTTGTGGGCCTGACCCTAAGCACAGTTCTCAGCCTGGAGATGGCTCTCCCTGCCCTGGGTCTGGAAAATCTCCTTGTCCTGCAGCTAATGTGCCTCACTGGGCTTCCCACAAATTATGAAGCACAAAGCCAGTGCAAGCCACCTGGACACAAAGCCGATCAGGTTCAGGAACGCTGAGGAAGGGTGTGGATTCCGCAAGTCCCTCATCCGCACGGAGCCGGCTCTGCCAACACCAACCACCACCACTCCAAACTTCCTCTCGGGCTGAAACACAAGGGACCAAGGTGGGGTTTGAAAATACTGCAGACTTCGAGTGGAGAACAGCAAAACAAGGAGCTGGCAGTGTCCTGATGAGCAAGAATGAAAGCCAGCCCGCAACTCACAGGAAGCCATGGCATCAGCATGGGAAAACGGGGGCCTGGAGAAAAGTCAGTCCCACCAAAACCTGTTCTTGAAGATGCTTCATCATGTCTTTGGGTTGAAAACCTTCTGAGCACCCACAGAAAGTGTTACCCCCATTTGGCTCTCCACTTCTACTGCCCCATCTCCAATAACGAGAGGCTTTCCTCATTAAGCCAGACCCAGCCCACAGCCTGGCACCTCTGCCTTCCCTGAGTGCCTCTTCCAGCAGACACATGAGTCTGATACTGCTGGGAATCATTCAGAGGCCACAGCTGCTTCATGAGATGCTGGCAGAGGAGGCGAATGGGCAAACCATGATTAGTCACCTTATTCAGCTTGGGACCCATAAGCTTTTACTCTTCACTACAACCTTCTGAGTTACACATTTAAGATCTGTGGTATCTTAAATATTATTTAAGTGTACTGCTGGAGGCTATATGTGAATAGTATTACAATGAAAAATAAAACTGACTTTTAAGTCATACAGCAACTCAATATAATCAAAACTGACAAAAATTACCTCCATGCACCTGGCATAGTGGCTCACTCCTGTAATCCCAGCACTTTGTGAGGCTGAGGCAGGCGGATCACCTGAGGTCAGGAGTTGAGACCAGCCTGGCCAACATGGAGAAACCCGGTCTCTACTAAAAATACAAAAATCAGTTGGGCATGGTGGCAGGCACCTGTTATCCCGCTACTTAGGAGGCTGAGGCAGGAGAATCACTTGAACTTGGGAGGTGGAGGTTGCAGTGAGCTAAGATTGTGCCACTGCACTCTAGCCTGGGTGACAGAGTAAGACTTGATCTCAAAAAAAAAAAAAGGCTGGGTGTGCACTGTGGTTCATGCCTGTAATCCCAGCACTTTGGGAGGCCAAGGTGTCAGGAGTTCGAGACCAGCCTGGCCAACATGGTGAAACCCTATCTCTACTAAAAATATGCAAAGTTAGCTGGGTGCGATGGTGAGTGCCTGTAATCCCAGCTACTAGGGAGGCTAAGCCAGGAGAATTGCTTGAACCCAGGAGGCAGAGGTTGCAGTGAGCTGAGATCGCACCACTGCACTCCAGGCTGGGTGACAGTGCGAGACTTTGTCTCAAAAAACAAAAACAAAAACAAACTTCATGCAACCCTTAAACTCACTTCTTGGATTTCTCTGAGCACAGAAACATCCATGTCACCTCAGATTTGCCCCTTTCCTTCACTTTTGTAGCCAGTTGTCACCACTTCCCACTGACCCTGCCCCTCTTCCTGTGCCCATTGCTCTTGTCTTCCTCCAGAATTTCTTCCAAATGTTTGGGGATTTGCCAAATATTTTTCTATTATTGATTTATCATTTAATCCCACTGTGGTCAGAGAACATTCTTTAAATGATTTGAATCCTTTCAGATTTGAGAGTTTTTAGGATCCAGGATGTGGTCTACCTTGGTTAATGTTCTGTGCACATTTGAAAAGATTGTGTATTCTGTAATTGTTGGGTGGAGTGTGTACAAGTCTGTTAGATCAAGTTGGTTGATTGTGTTGTTCAGGTCTTCCATATCTTTCCTAATTTTCTGTCTCCTTGTTCTATCAATTATTGAGGATAGTGAAATCTGAATATAATTGTATACGACTATGTATTTCACCTTTCAGTTCTATCAGCTTTGACCCACATATTTTGAAATTCTCTTATTAGATACATGTATGTTTAGGATGTTATTAGATACATACATGTTTTGAATATTATTAGATACATACATGTTTAGGATGGTTATATCTTTTTATTAATTGACCCCTTTATATTCTAAAATGACCATTTTTATTCCTGGTAATATTTTTTGCCCTATAATTTATTTTGTCTGATATTAACAATCCATTCCCAATTTCTGTTGATCAGTGTTAGCATGATACATTTTTTCCCAACCTTTTACATTTAATCTGTATGTGTTTTCGTATCTATAGTTAGTTTCTTGTAGGCAGCATACAATTAGGTCTTGCTTTTTTTAACTTAATCTAACAATCTCTGCCTTTTAGTTAAAATGTTTAGACAGTTTACATTGTGATTATTGATATGGTTGGGTTTCCATCCAAATTCTTTTTTTTTTTTTTTTTTTTCTTTTGAGACGGAGTTTCGCTCTTGTTACCCAGGCTGGAGTGCAATGGCACGATCTCGGCTCTCCACAACCTCGGCCTCCTGGGTTCAGGCAATTCTCCTGCCTCAGCCTCCTGAGTAGCTGGGATTATAGGCACGCGCCACCATGCCCAGCTAATTTTTTGTATTTTTAGTAGAGACGGGGTTTCACCATGTTGACCAGGTTGGTCTCGATCTCTCGACTTTGTGATCCACCCGCCTCGGCCTCCCAAAGTGCTGGGATTACAGGCTTGAGCCACTGTGCCCGGCCACTCCATCCAAATTCTATAGCAATCTTGCTGTTTGTTCAATCTGTTTTTTTTCCCTCTTTTCCTGCCTTATTTTAGATTAATTAGAATATTTATTATTATTATTCCATTTTATGCCATTTGTTGGCTGTTAGCTGCAACTCTTTTTCAGAAGTTAAGGCTTTTATATTATATATTTTATTTACCACAGTCTACTTTAAAATAATATTATGCGCTACTCCGTATATACTATAAAGAACCTGACAAGAGTACACTTCCATTTCTTTTCTCCTAGACCTTCTACTGTTGTTACACAGTTCAATATTGAAGGGTGAGATTCTCCAGAGCTTGCCCGGAAGCCAGGATGTCTGGAAAGAATCTCAGCCTCTCTCAGCCTGCAGCTTGGGAGAGTGATTCATGGAGCCTGACTGCCCACTGCCGCTAAACCGTAGACTGGCCTTGGCTCACACATCTGACTGCAACTGTCCCCTCTGAGTAAAAGCCTCTCTTTCTTCAGCCTTGCAAGTTTCCTGGAGGTGCTTCTAACAAGCGGACTTCACATATAAAAGGGGACTCTGAGAGACCTACTTCTGGCTTCTCTTCTGGAAGTCAGGGAAGAGTACAGGAAGGAGTGGCCACAGTGCCCAACTGACAACTGACAATTTCACCAAGTAAGTCCTTTTGGGTTACAAGTCAAGTTCTATTTTTTTAATTTGGTAATTTCTAATTACCAAAAAGCAGTAAGACAGCCCCTGGAGAAATCTGTACAGCCAAAACACATAGTCATGATCAAATATTAATATTTGTTTCCCTTTCAATCAAGAAAAGAAGACTAGCAATCCCTTTATTAAACATAGATGGCATTCTTACGGTTAACTACCGAATTACTACGTTCCAGATAATAACCAGGATATGCTTCTAACCAGCTTAAAAAAAATCCACAAGGTTAAGAAACAGCTCTATTATCTATAAATAAGCCAAACAGCTTTTAAAAATTTAATTAGTTAATGATACAAACTTGCCTACACAACCTGGCCTGCACAGTATGTCAGACTAAATTATAAACTGCTTTAGGGTTTGGTTTCGATATTATTGGCTTGCAAAGCTGACACACAGGGACAAGATATGGGTGAGTGGCCAGGCGCAGTGGCTCACGCCTGTAAACCCAGCACTTTGGGAGGCTGAGGTGGGCGGATCACATGAGGTCAGGAGTTCCAGACTAGCCTGACCAATATGGTGAAATCCTGTCTCTACTCAAAATACAAAAAATTAGCCAAGTTTGGTGGCGGCAGGTGCCTATAATCCCAGCTACTTGGGAGCCTGAGTCAGGAGAATTGCTTGAATCCAGGAGGTAGAGGCTGCAGTGAGCCGAGATTGCACCACTGCCACTCCAGCCTGGGCGACAGAGTGATACTCCGTCTCAAAAAACAAAAAAAACAAAAAACAAGATATGAGTGAAAACATTGGTATCTTAATAGTTAAGTTCCTCTTAGGGGAAGAACTTTATTTTTGAGAAAAATCACTTGTTAGGCCTTTTAATGTGAGTCTCTTCATTATGTGAGGGATGTTGAAGGTGCGTTCTGAGGGGAAACTGCAATCAGAGATGGCCAGACCACGTTGTAGTAGCAGCTACTTTGTGGGCAGGAACCAGTAGGAGGCAGAGGAAAAGCGAAAGTGCACACAAGTTAACAAGAGGCTGAAGTCTGCAGAGAGGGAAGCCAGTGAGAAATGCCCAGTGGAGGAGGGAGCAATGGACTTCTAGACACCGGGATGTCGATAATTCCATTTTCAGTTGTCTGCTGTGCTCTGCTGTCCTGAACCTTTGGGAAAATCCCTCTACAAACAGCCCTATGGAGGTAGTATTTAAGGAACAAAGAACAGGAGCAGTTTTGAGGCAGCAGAAAAGGACACATAAGCATAGCAAAGTGACTCAAAAACTCACTCAGGTCCAAACCACAGTCACAGAGTGAGCTTGTGCCTCCACCCTTGGACTCAGAGAAACTGGTGTTTGGCACTCCAGACACGAAAATGGAGTTCACATCAAGTTAGGATTAAGAGAATGTGCTCTGCCAACCGAAACAAAATTTGTTTTCGAGATGAAGAGGGTAGAAGAAAATGTAAAATTTTTGTATAAAAACTTCAAGGTGCCGGGCGCAGTGGCTCAAGCCTGTAATCCCAGCACTTTGGGAGGCCGAGGCGGATGGATCACGATGTCAAGAGATCGAGACCATCCTGGTCAACATGGTGAAACCCCGTCTCTACTAAAATTACAAAAAAATTAGCTGGGCATGGTGGTGCATGCCTGTAATCCCAGCTACTCAGGAGGCTGAGGCAGGAGAATTGCCTGAACCCAGGAGGCGGAGGTTGCGGTGAGCCGAGATCGCGCCATTGCACTCCAGCCTGGGCAACAAGAGCGAAACTCCGTCTCAAAAAAAAAAAAAAAAAAAAAAAAAAAGAGATCGAGACCATCCTGGTCAACATGGTGAAACCCCGTCTCTACTAAAAATACAA